ATTGAGGTTATGTATCATGATAGTCATGATTTGTTCAAGATACATCATAATATTAATGATTATATCAAAATTATTAGAGTATTCATTGAATACCTCCATCATGCATTCATCAAATTTCTATTTCACAAAATGATTGCGAGAAGAACTTATTGCACAGAATTGAAAGATAACAATAACAAAAGGATGATAATCTCTGTTGATGACATTTCTCTCAGGTAGCAAGAAACAAAGGTGAGTAAATACTAAATAGAATCATTGATAGTACCGGACATGAAATATTGATACATTCATATACATTATTTATTGTTTCAGGAGGTTATTGAGAACACAAACTTGATGATATAATCATAGCAAACATGTTTTATTCCAAGATATCTTTGCTTCTTCAGAATCTATAAGTAAATATGGAAGCTTGCACATTCAGTATGAATTCAATAAAGGTAGGTACCTGAATCAAATCATTGATATAGTAGGTACTGGACATGAAATATTAATAGGTTAATTATTTGTTTCAGATGAAGTTATTGAGAACACAAGATTGATGATGTCATCAGAGCAAAGATGTTTCATTCCAAGATATTTTGGCTTCTTCGAAATCTATGTGAGATTGTATGCATGTTTGCACTTTCAGTATAATCAATAAAGGTAGGTACCTAAATCAAATCATTGATATAGTACTTAGGTACTGGAACATGAAATATTAATAGGTACATTATTTGTTTCAGGAGGTTATTGATAACACAAAATGATGATATCATCAGAGCAGAGATATTTTATTCCAAGATATTTTGGCTTCTTTGGAAATTACGAAAGATTGTACATAATGCAGACTTGAACTTTCAGTAGATTCAATAATGGTTGGTACCTTACTACATAAATCATATCATTGATAGTAAGTACTGGACATGAAATATTAATACATTGTTTGTTTCAGATAGTTTTGCTTCTTCAGAATCTATAAAATATTGCATGAAGGCTTCAACTTCCAGTTGATTCTGCATCAGGAATATCCAGAGTTCACAAATCAAAAACAACATGGAGAAATATAACTACCAATAGGCATAACTTCTAGTAGTGCTCAACAAGAAGCTGAAATACATTTCTTCAAAAAGGAAATTGAAATTTTTCAGAATAAGTTATAAATAATAGAATGTAAGTTTTTCATTTGGTTTTTCATTTGAACCTATTATAAATAGAGGGAAATTTTGCAAATATCATGAGATCCATATTATTTTGAAGAAATTATCATTTGCATAATACAAGGTGAGTCAATAGTGTGTTATCCTTGTATATTAGCCAAACCATCAGATAAATAGAGAAAATTCAAGTACAACAGTAATAGGGTTTCATGAGAACTTTCACATTAAATTGTTTTCATATCTGTATAGGGTGTTTGAATTCCAAGATATATTGACTGATGATTGTTTTTTTTCCGAATGGGTCACCCTGTATACTATTGCATTTTTAGGTTCTCCCTGAAGAGCTGATTTCATCAATATATCAAACTTTGGGTCTAGCGGGAATTATTACAGAGATATAGGGTGTTCAAAAACAAGATTTTTCAATTTTAGGATTTTTTTGTGTGGAAACTATTCAAAACGGTCCTTATGAACTTTTGATTTACTATCTAATGACATTCAATCGGAACAAATAGAGGGTGGTTCAACATTCAGAATACTGATCAGCTTATTGTATCTGTTCCAAATAAATATCAGTAGATAGCTAATCAAAAGTTAAGACAGGGACATGTGAGCCGTTTTTTTGACCATTAATGAATAGTTTCGACACAAAAAATCCTACATTTGAAGAATCTCGATTGTCAACATATCTCTGTAATAATTCCCACTAGACACCAAGTGTGATGCATTGATGAAATCAACTCTTCAGGGAAAACTCAAAAATGTAATAATATACAAGGTGTTCCATTGAAAAAAACCGATCATCAACCGATATCTTGGAATTCGAACACCCTAGCTATAGATATGAAAACAACTTTAGGTGATTGTTCTTATGAAACCCTATTACTGTTGTACTTGAATTTTCATTTTATATATCTGACGGTTTGGCTAATATCGGAGGAGAACACACTAGTGACTCATTCTGTATACGAATAATATTCTCCCATAAATCTTGAACATCCTTGAAACATCATCAAAAACCGCCTCAAGTTGTTACTATGATGTCCTGAGGTTGTCTCAAAAGATTTTATAGGGATGTTCTGAGACGTTATTAGTGTGTAGAGAATGGTAACAGGAGAACGTCTTAAGAATGTCCTCTGGCTCGCTCTCGACGTCCTGAGGACATTATTGTGAAAGCCTCAGAAGGGCCTCAAAAGGAATTTGTGCTATCTGGGTATACATTAATACTTTACACTGGTTTTGAATGAAATATGGGAGCACTGGGAGATCAGCAAGAAAACCAAGAGCTCGAAGGGCAGAAAGTGTATAACGTAGATCAGGTAGTGCAGACTTGTCGGAAAGAAAGTGATCCCTTAGCTGTCTTCAGTATTTATATTCCCCCCTTGACCTCGATACAACGACAGCTCGATCCTAGGTTCTTATTGATGGTAATCCTCAACTATGGCTGCAGGAACTATCATCCCGAAGCACATGTTCTCAAACACACGAAAATGCGGGTAAAATGATATTCAACCCTGAATGGGTACAGGAACAAAATCTACTACCCTTGCTAATGCTACTGAATGAATTTGACTCGAAAATATCCAATAACAAAAAAGTTATGACCATGTAAACATCCATCGTTTCAACTGATGAATAATCCATCCAAATTTCATATCATAAGCAAAGGGTTGAAAAATATTGAAGTCTTCAGGGTTGTTATGATGTTCATCAGAGTTTACTATCAGGAAAAACTTTGGAAAGTCAGGAATCAATGCATTACTCAGCTCTCTCAGGTTTTCAGGTTTCGCTCATTCGAAAGAGTGAAATTCAAGTAGAATCAGTTTCAGGTCACTTAGATATTACTCAAAACCAGTCTAGTAATAAAACTGGTCAACAACACTTCATTACATCATAGGAAAGCGGTTCACTCATTGCTTCACCATACAAATTATTCACATCGAAATAAAGTCGATATTTTGATAACTTTTTGATATCATATTTGATCTGATATTTATTATTCACCTAACTGTATCTACTACAGCAAACCGATAATCTACCTCTTATCGCTTCTTCAACAAACATCACCATATTTATATCATTCAAAATTTGTAATATTCACCCTGCATATTTGAGCATACAATCACGAGTATATCCCGGCATTGTGTAATACCAAGCTGGGTCGAGAGAGAACGGTTTCAGTGAGAATTCGCGAATCTTCTTCATTATGTCGGCTAGAAGAAGAATATCGGTATGCATGTTCAAGTCGCTATATTCCCCAAGTGTCTTGATTTCCAAAGCCGTCCAAACGTTTCGAGCGTGAACATAATCAACATCGGAAATATTCTCACCGTTTGATCTTTCGTGGAAATTTTCAATAGGTGGCAAGTTAGTTTCATTCAATTTTACTTCACTATCAACATCAATTTTTTCTTCGAAATTTTTAAATCAGCAGTATTTATGTTTCTTGCGGAGGCATCGAGATCAGCTCCCAGATAACGAAAGGGATCAATATATCTGATTTTGATATCGGTTTCAGAATCATACTGAGTGAAAAATATGTATTTCTCCTTGTCCACAGGAAGCACACTTATACGCCCACGCTTAGAAATGTCCCGAAATAGAAAATGCGAGTCATATCCTGAGAGATTATTAAAAGCCATTGGTACAACGAACAGTTTATTAAAGTTGATGTTGCATGGAGCTTGGTGAGCGAGACCCCTAAACGCTCCTGTAAAGTGGTTATGTTCACGTACGACAATCTTTTTTTTTCTGAACTTTTTCTCGCAAATATGACAAACATCAGTTGCGACGCCACTGGTGTTACCCGGTCTCATCACCATTGAAACGATATTTTTGATATCAGATTGAATTAATTTGGCAACGTCAGACATTTCTTCCGCAAACCAGTCCATGCAATCCTCACCTCGATATTCTTTATAAAATGAAAGTGAATCATCATAGGCATACTTCAAGTAATACACAGCACTGTAGGTATTATGGTAATGGTACCTCAGAGTTGTTTCAGATATTTTTGAACTGCATTCTTGTAATAGCGATTTAGAATCTGCATAAATTATAAAAGGGCATGTCTATTTATAGATGTGGTTCTTGAGTTCAACAAAATCATATTTTGGAAGAGGAATATTTTCATCATTGGTTTCTTCACACAGAGCGGGGTGATTATATAGCTTCTCCTGACTCATGAAATAGTTGGGGCATCTGTCACACAGATATTTTTTGTTATGATTTTTTTTGCATTAACTAGATAGCAAAAGTTTTTTATCCAACAGTAGTGGTATCTCATTGAATTATCTTCATCATGAACAGGCGGAGCTTCAAGATCATTCGATTCTGGAAACTATCTGTCATGAATCAATAATAAATTAACATGCCTATCTGATTTATGCTAAGGTAATCTAATAGGCACGACTGCGTGAAATTCTTTCTCTTCAATTGTATTCGATTCTAATACATAAACATTATTGGAAATGAGTTTTTCGAATTTTGTAATCTGAGGTAGTTTTATCAAAATGAGTTATAGTTATACCGAGTTTTTTCTTGTTCTCATCAACTCAATTTGGTGAGGTGATAGGTAACTTAATGTATTTGCCAGTTGCCAGGAGTGAATTTTTGTAGCGTCCACTCATGTAAGAATTCGTATTCAGGACCTATTTTCTTCTGATCTCACCCCCATATCTCCACTGTAGCGAGCTGCAAAATACCCCGTCAGTCATCAGACAGCAGATTCATGGGAATTCAGTTTGAGTTAAGTGCGTTGAGGAGAATTTGAATAGCTTTGACATTGTACGCTTCGTTGAATCATGAAGAAAACTGAAGGCTGGGACAAAGTTTTCAATAAAACGAAACTGAATTCACAGAAATGATTTCTATGTTGACATTTTTTTCCACACATGACAATATCGAATGGTATCAAATCTCAAACTCCAATCGCTTCATTATTGGCAGAACAGTGGTTCGAAAGTTGTTCCTTCACAAATATACTCCAATCATTTTCCCATTTTTCCAAAGCCTCAGATTTTTCATGGTCCTCCATACTACTATATCTGATTGAATTGATTGCCAACTGCTTCAAGAATCTCAAATCGCTTTCTCTTCCTGACATCCCCATGAAAGCTAGGTACCAATCGTAGCTCAGTCCCTTGGCTCCCCAAAATGATGGGTCATCTGGTGCAATCACTATAGGATCATTATTGGCAATCATAATCGATCCTGGATGGTTTCTCAAATCATCAACCAACTTGAGGACTTGATTAGAAATGGGACATATCTCTATTGCAATCTCCCTTTCTTTTATCTCTCTCAGCAGAAGAGGGTGTTTCAAGGCGGCAAAACCGTGACCTATTCGAGTTGTGTTCAATAAGATCGCATCGAGAAGGTTCAGATCCGTTGACTCATCGTACCAGTTAGTCTCGCCAGCATGGAAGAAGAAGTTCGCTCCGTAGTTTGACTTCAGTTCTAGGAGTTGGGGTACGAAGGAGCTCAGAGGTTCTCCTGCGAAAAAATAGGTCTTGTATATATCATTGCGTATTCTTTGAATCGAATGAAAATTAGTTGAATTCCATATATTCTAGGGCCTGACCAAGATATATTCCTGCACAGCATGAATATCTCGGAAACAGATACGAATTTGGTTAAAACGGGAAAAGGTAGCGCATTTGGAGCCTCATTACAACAGTCCCCAAAAAATTTCAAAATCATTCATAGGTTTTCGGTTACATAAAAAAAGTGAAATTATAAAGAAAATATCTATTTTTTAACGCCAAAAACGAACAAAAAAAAACGATTTTGCGATAGAATTCCTAGGTGAGATTTGACGTGGTAAGATGTATTCCTCCATGCGACGTTTCGTATTCGTAGAACTATCTCAGTAAGAAGAAACTCGTTGATAAAACGTTGAATGACGGTTGGAATCGTGGAAATAACGTTAGTGGTTGAAAACTTTTACGTCGAAATTTGGTTGGAGATGACCAGGAAAATAAACTCATCATATAAACGTTTTATTCCCAACAATTCATTACTTTCTGTTCATCTACAACCACTATTGAACGTTGCAATAAAACGTTGATACTGACAAGCAACAAAACGTCATTTCATTTCAATGAAACGACACATTCAGAATGTACGGTAGAATAATTGCTGAAAATAACGTTATTATATAACGTGAGAAAACTAATAGATCCAAACAACAATGTCTTGTTTACTTCAACGTTTGTAATTCACATATTCATATAACTTTTGAGTTACTTGATACGTCATTCGATCGTGTACTGATAATGCTGATGGAACGTTAAAAATTACTCATTCAAAAGTGTCTATTATTCTCTGAAAAAGATTATTCATTGATATTCTGATGCTTCAGACGATTATTCGACGTTTATTTCAGTATCTCATTCAAATCAGGAAATACTGATTCAATCCCCGGTTATTCATCGACTTCGAAACGAATGGTCCTACGTTCGAGGTAATAAATAATGAAACGTTCCCCTCGATATTGAAAATTATCAATTATGTACAGGGTGACTGGAGGAGCCTCATCTTTGGGATCTCGTAAACTCTGAGAGATACAGCGTCGCTTAAATCTTGGAGAAACTGTGCAATTTTATGCTTGAATGGATCTCGTTTTGGGCTATCCAATGATTAGAGTAAATGAAATCACTTTATATCACCCAAAATCCCAATTCATATGAATATGGCGTACGATCGATTGACATTTATCACTTGCTCTGAAAAAATTCGATTAACTCAAAAACAAGGTGTCCATTGTCCAATTGACATAAACAAGAATGACACATTCCTGAGAAACCGAGAAATTGACGATGATGAAAATCTCTGAATCAGATTTTCCATTTTCCCTCCACTTTTTGTACAAATTTTCAAAATCATGAGTATAAAAACCGTATAAACCGTCATTTTCAAACGTGTATTTCTCATGGTGAACTACCTTTCATTGATTCGGCAGAGCTCTCACGGTGAACTAACGTTTATTCGAAACGTTTATTGAACTCTTGAAATGAACGTTATTCAAACGTTTCATTGAGAGTCTTTGATAACTGTTGGGAGGATAAAATACGTGGAATATTTGTTTCCCGAAAACGTTAGTTAATCGTTATTAGACAAGGTGTATTCAATCCGTTTACATCTCGCCGAAGCTCACACCAAGAGTTTAGGTACAAATAAGATCAGTCGAGCAAATCCTGATAGGAATATGTAGGAATGGGCACCTCACTTAGAAGGAAGTGGAACAGCTGAGGAAAGATAGTACATAGACAAAATACCAGGTAAGTAAGGTATAATAATAATCATAGTAATTATGCGAATGCTGATAAAATAATTGTGGACATAAAAATAACGAGAAATAATCTGACTAGAACGTTGAAGTAACGTTCGAGAAACCGGGAATTCGACGATTGAAAATTGATCAAAAGTGAACGTTGAAATATATTTTTTATCAACGTGTTCAAACGTTGATATATCACGATTATTTCGCGTGGAAAATTTCGTCGAGAACCGGGCAGTTTCCACCGGTTTCGAACGGATATTTACGTCGAAATTAGTAGTTGAAAATACATTTTTGAACTGGTTGAAAATACCGTGGATGGCAGCGACATTTTCGCGTATCTGGTACTTTTATTTCCCTACGTCTTCTGTCTCTTATTTCCATTTCATTGCCTACTTCCCTATTTTCCGTAGTTTCATTATTTACTTCCCTATTCTCTATATTTTCACTATTTTCTCCCAATTTATTCCCCTTAATCATTTGAATTTCTGTATCATTTTTATATATATCAATTTCCTTTAAAATGGTCATCATTTTCATCAAACCTCACATCCCTTGCAACTATCATTTTTTGTTCATTAATAAAATTCCATAGTTTATATACCCATTTACAACATACCCAATCATGATGGATTTTGCTGCCTTCTGATCAAACTTCCCTCTTTTTTCTTTTGGTATGTGATAGTATGCAGTACAGCCAAGAACTCGCAAGTTATTAACATTTGTTTTTTTTTTTGTTATACCGAAGTTGAGCTGGTGTTAATTCATCATCCAGTGCATGTGATGGACTTCTATTTAAAATATATGCAGCAGTCTTACAGCTTCCTCCAAAAGGTATTCTGTAAACCTGCATCTTTCAACATTGAACGTTCAACCAATGTTCTATTCATTCTCTCGGTTTTTCCATTGTGTTCTGGAGTATAGGGAATCGTATAATCCAATCTGACACCATTTTCTCTACAAAACATTTCGAAATCATTGGAGATGTACTCTCCCCCATTATCACACCTCACTTTAAATATCTGTGAATCAAACATTGATTCCGTCATATGAAAATATTCTTTGAATATATTGATCACTTCATTCTTTCGTTTAATCAAATAAACCATGGTGAAATTTGAAAAATCATCAATGAATGTCGAGAAATAATCATGTCCATTATAAGTTCTTGGATTCATTGGACCACACACATCTGTGTGAACTACTTCCAAGACTCTTCTACTTCTTGTTCTATTTCCAAAAGGCAGCCGAGACATCTTTCCAGAAACACATGGATCACAAGAATCTACTTCTAGTGTAGGTATTCTTTTGTGAATTCCTTCTACAAAATTTCCTTTCATTAACTTTTTCAAACTATTGAAATTTATAGGACAAAATCTTTTGTGCCATTTCATGAATTCATTGTGGCCTATTGTTACATTCAAACACTCTGATTTATTGACATTGAAAGTTAATTCATATAAATTTTGCCTTTTACCTAATCCTATAATTTTGTGTTTGTTATAAAGTTTTACTTGACCATTCTCAAATACTACACTTTTTCCTGATTCTCCTAATCTCTTCACTGAAAGAAGATTTCTTCTCAAATTTGGAACATAAAACACGTTTTTTATCAAACACTCAATATTTATTTGATTAAGAACTAAATGCTTCTATATTTCCTACTGCTCTTCCTGTCAGGAAATTATCATTCTTAGCAACTGCTATTTGTATTATATAGTCCAGAGTTAGTAATTCAGAAAATACATTTTTATCGTTAACTAAATGATCTGTACAACCAGAGTCTATATAAAATGTCAAATTATCCAAATCTTCAACATCTCCAGTCAAATTCACCTCGATATTGAAACAAATTCTGTTCTTATTGAGATCTTGATTATGATTATGATTTGAATTTGTAGAATCTTGTTCGCTTTGTAAATAATTTGTATTATGTTGCCAACCTGTACCTGTGTTTTGGCCTCCACCTCTATATTGATACCTTCCTCTCATCTGACCTCTGAAATTTCCATAGCCTCTGGAAAAACTTCCTCTAGTAATTCCTTTGGAAAAACTTGTTCGAGCACCAGCTCTAGACACCAGTTTGACTTTCACCTCTGGAAAAACTGGTTTGAGTTCCTCCTTTTGAGGAACCACCTCTAAAACCTCTTCCAGAGAAACCATAACTCTGTTGTATTCTTCTGTGCACATCGTTTTGTAGAGCATCAACTCATAGTACGCTACTCCAAACCCAAATACAATACAGACGCAGCAGACGCTACGGGTAAATTGGCTGCTATTGAGCACACTGTGCTTAGAAAAAATGAGACAATTTCGAATATGAGCCCACGAGCAGTCCAAACGCATATCAAGCCATACCTCAAAATTGTTTTATCGCCTCACAAATCAATTTCCTCGAATGTTTTATCTGATTTTCTTGCACCCTGTTATTCAAATTTGCATGTTGGCACCCAAACAATTTGCGAAATTCATATGTCATATATAGGCTTCGCAAATTGCCTCTTCACAATCCAGTTCGTGTATGTAAAACTAGAGAACATTTCGATTCATTTCTCAGACTTATCATCGAAATTCTCAGAAGACACAAGTTCACATTGTACAACGGCCCCAAAGAAATTAACATTGTCAGCAAACGTCTTCATATCCAATATTCTAGATTCATTGCACAGACCATTCAGCAACTCCACAACTTCTTGTTCTATCACATTCGAAATTAGTATTTTCAATGGCTTTTGTTTATTAAACAACTACGCTCACCGAACCTATAACCTATTAGGGCGCACCACTTACATTGCCGTTACTGACAAATATTTTTGGAATTCACAAATTATTGTGATTCATTTTGCACGTGCTCTGAATTCCACTGGAGTATGGAAATCATTAGACAACTCGCGCTTTTGTGTGTTTGCAATGAACTGTGTGGTACGGAGTGCCAATATTCGATGTAATGAACTGCGAACACACGTGCATCCCAGAACTTCTGAGCTCTGTACTGCACATGGGTTCGGAAATACGCCACCAGCGTAGTAGTCAACGCAACCCAAGTTGTTCTACCCGCGAGTTCCTTCTGAGGGTGGAGAAATGATGTATGGGAATATCATTGAGGAAGAAAGATAGGATTAAAAGGTTGACAACTGGTATTTGAATTCTATAACGACAGGTATGAGGATTTCAGAAAACGGGTGAAAGCATTGATTAAGTCTGAAGAATATAA